CCCCAGCCCAGCACTCCCCCCCCGCACTCCAGCCGGGAGCACAGACCCCCCGGCAGCAAGGATGGAGCCTGCCAGTGTAGAGCAAAGGTAAGGATGGGAGGTGGAGTGATGGGGGCGAGAGGGGGGAAGAAGGTGCAGAGGGGGGGCAGGGACCCAAGGCTGCAGGAGGGTGGAAGGTGGGGAGGTTGGGGGAACAGTCCATGGGGGATCAGGACAGCCTGAGGCTGTGGGGGGCAGGCACAATGTGGAGTAAGTGGGAGGGGAACAGGTGGCAGGGTGCAAGCTGCCTGCCTCTCACTATCTGCTGCACTGCCTCCATACTGCCTGCCCACAACCACCTGCCCCCCTATTGTCTAGCCCCACAGCTCCCTCTACTGCTGTCTTTTTATTGCCCCCGCTACCTACCCGATTACCTGCCCTGCCACATGTCCCTCGACTGTCTGTTTCCTATTGCCTGTCTTACTACCTGCCCCCTCACTGCTTGTCTGCCTACCGCCCCATTTCTTGCCCCATTACTGCCCTACCATTCCCCCCCAATGCCTCCCCACTGTCTATTCCCTCTCTGCCTGCCCATTACTGCTCCCCTCATCACTGCCTACAGTAGTTGGGAGGGACAAATTTAAGATGATCCTCCAATAATTAGATTTCATACATGGAAAATTATAATAAATTGATATATTTTCCATGTATAAAACTGAATTTTGGGGGGGACTGTCTTAAATTCAGGGTTGTCTTGTATTTGGGTAAATATGGTACAAGTGCCTATGCAACACACCAAGCTTAGTCCAGTGGTTGGGATTGGTTTCTCATGGCAGGCTGGAATGACTCGGCTTGTGCTGAAGGAAGGCTGGTGCTAGAGCCCTCCCTCTGCCACTCAGCCATGGTACAACCTGGGCAGAGTGCCCTGCTGTCCTGGGCAGCACAACACAGTGCACATGTGGGCAAAGCACCCCCACCACTGAAACTGCTACTCTGTGGGCTGAATCCAATTGCTCCATTGATCAGCTCTGACTCATTGGCCATAGGGTGCTGGCCCCTGGCTTAGCCCATATCTATACATATATCTATACATATCTATATGCATATACATATATACACGTACACATATAGGCATAAATATGAAGAAAAATATACACTATTTAAAATAATGTAAGAAAAATTTCAAGTCACAATTGGTATCTGTAAAAGCCAGTAACTGAATCATCCTGCTATTACTATTAACTATAATCATGTCTCTCTAAATATAATAACATTTAATAAGTAATAAAATATTTTTCTTATATAAAATATTTTGAAATCCATCTGTTCCAACATGCGTGACTAGGTCCTGATTTATGTATCAATTCTGGGCCTCTACAAATTGCTTTGCAATTGTTTTCAAGATGAAAGCAAGCAAGTCTCTTACAAGATAGAATTTCCAGACTATGGAAACTTTAAATTATTTTGTTTTAAGGGATGCAATAAAACGTAGCATAATTTACAGCCCCTTCTAAGCAACTTAAAATTTTTCTCCATTTAAAGGTGTATTTATTTTAATCAAAATTTCAAAATGAATGGATAGCAGACATTCCAGCTTAAAATTGCACTCGTTTGTCTGTGATTGTTTTGGATCAAACTTCGTCTGGTTTTATAATAAGCCATTTGAAAAGTAGATGCAATGGTAAAAAAAGATGAATGCATTTACTGGATAATACTTTTGGAGTTTAAAATAGAGGTAGTGTAAGAAAAGTTGTGATTTTTCCAAATCTAGTAGTATTTAAAGTTTGTAAATAGCTAAATAAGGTCATGCGATTACATCCTCAGTATGAACAGGGCCACTTCAGGTGTACTCCTTTTGATCATATCACAGAAAAATGGTACTCCAAGACCTATCTTACTATTTACCAGGAAAATACTTCCTGAAGGAATGCCAGGTGGTGGCTTGATGGATCCACAACTACATGTGGCATTTGGGTCTGTGGAAAGAATGGAAAGCTCGACAACACACTATTTTTAGGGTAGACATCATATTGTGCTGGTTATCATAACAGAAAATTACTCACCAAGCTGAGAGAAGTTGAACCTAGTACCAGATGGTGACGTTATGCTTGAGCCAGATGAAAATGGAGAATTGGCAGCAGTTTCCTGCAGACCTCCTGCTGAATGTGAACGTAGCCATTCTTTTGCATCCTCTTGACTACGAAGTTGGGATGAAGGAGTGTACCTGCAAAACCGGAGGCTGTTTTAGAACTAACCTTCATCTTTTTTTCAAGTACATTCTTTTTTAGAGTAAAATCAGAGAGAATTTAAGGATTAAGTTGGTATAAAAGGAATCCTGATTTAAGGCTCTTTTTCCAACCCTAAACCTAGGTTTGAAAAAAACACATCTCTTTATTATGGCTTCTGCAGTAGATAAGTGTAAGGGAGTTGAGCAAGTAGCCTTAAGACAAATGGGCATGTACTTATAGGTAGGCATATATGTAATGGACTAAATGATCAGCATTGTGCACCTCTTAGTTTATACCACAAATTTTAATATTATTTAAACATCTCAACGCACCTCTAAAGTATCACAGCATACATTAACTAGCTTTAAGCCAAAAGGGCCATTAAAAGATAGGTCTTTAAAAAAGGTTTATTTAATTATTATTTTCAATAAATATACATAAATGAATAAATAAATAAATAAAATTAATTAAAATGATTAATAGAAACACTAATACATGGATCGCTGAATATTAATCACGGATCGTATCAAATCATTATGAAAGGAGCTGTTTAACCTACTTTTCAGAGAAAGGGCCTGGACAGAAGAGACAATGACTTTAGTTTGGCCAAGATTTTACCTCTGATCTATATATCCCTACTGCACTGTGAACATTATGTGAAGTGTGTGGTATCGTGCATATGTCAATCTGATATACCATAATGGAAGCATTTGCTTCAATCAGTAATAAAAATGCCAGAGTACAGATGACAACTGATAATGTACTTTAAACTTTTTAAAAGCTAAAATGGCCAAATCTATATTAGAGTTAATTGTTTGTAAAATAATAGTTATGTTTATTTGTTTTTACTGAAGGAATATAAAATACGTCCAAAATATCTTTACTGTTTACTGTCCTTTTCATCCTAAAATAATACCCCATTAAGCTCAAAAGATTTTCCTTTTTGCTTCTATGCCAAGATATATGATCTGATCCTAGAAAATAAACAGTTATGGGTGATTAATATTTTTCCAAAGTAGAGATTTGATCCAACTAAAAAACATGAACCAGTAAAGCATAATCTATATTAATTTGGAATTCAATTTAATATTTAACCCATGTGTAAGGATAGCCAGGTTAGCATTTAATACAGGAAGATACTGTTTATCAGTTACGAAGATTTTAAAGTGCATTATAAAATGAAATAACAATGCACAGTGTATGGTAAGCGAGTTTTTAAATAGTACATTCTTGTCCCTTATCCCCCAAACTTGAAATAGCAGGCCCTGATTCAATATTTCTGTGGTCATGAACATGTGTAAGACCTTATAGGACTGACGCGCTAAAGAGTCACCTTACTTTAACATGTTTTTAAGAATTTAAAAAGCAATACCTACCTCTTCAGCAGTCAAATGTTTCAATTTTAAGAGAGGATCTTTATTTACTAGAGACACATTTGACAGTCACAGAAACATTTTATACAAAAATCCCATCTCATGAAATGCTTTTAGCACTCAGCTCAATGTGAGAAAGCTGCTGCAGAGAACAATGTGTACAGTGCAGAATAAATTGCAGCTGCAATTTGAAGCCATCAGGTCAATCATCATAAAAGCAGCATTAAGCAAGTCTGAAGTTGAAATGTTTTAAGTTGGCCAGGTATTGTCTGTAAATTCCATTACACTAACTTAAAGCATTTCATTTGTAGCCTTAATGTTAATAATTTCACTAGAATGGCTTGTGTTTACTGAAGGGAAGAAAATTCTTAGTGCTTTTTTTAGTAGATTTCCAACATCCACTACATATACATAATGTATTAAGTGCAGACACACAAGAATGTTTGTCAAGTTTTGTTTTCCCAATCAAGGCAACACATCACCTCTCTAAACATCCATTAAGAAAGAAGAAAATACCATTAGTATTTCCAATCTCATTCTATGGTATTTATGAAGATATAAATCAGTTTTTTCTTTACATATATCTCAGGATTCCAGGAATTATGTTGTGAAAATGAATTCATGTACTTTAGTGACTAGCCATAAAAGCTGCAAATTATTGCTTTCAAGTCAAGCCCAATGATGGTTTATGAGATGCTTTTCAGATTCAGCCAGCAAAAGCCATGTTTCCTGTTCAAGCAGAGAAGCCATTGGATGAAAGAAGCAGCATGTTTGAAAACAGCCTTCTTTGAGGAGATAAAAGGGGAACAAAAGAAAGAAAAAAGAACAGAAAGGATGTTGCCACCCTTGCAAAAGCTGCCACCACCACCAACAGCCACAACAGAAACACAAAGCAAACTCCAAAACCACAACAAAAGCTGTTAGACTATGTGGAAACACCAATACCTGAGTCCCTTCTTAGGCAAAGTGTTCCTATCAAGATGTGGGTCGCTGTAGAAAAGTTAAAAGAAAAGAACTTCAGAGATGAACAAAAGGGAAGTATTAAGATCAGGATGAAGAGAAAAGTATAAACATCTGCATCACATTTTCAGAGGAAAAAGTGATGTGTCCTATCTAAGAAAACATGCAAAAGCCTCCTAGGTACGTGTGAATTGTTATACATGCATTTGGTACCATGCTAATGAACTTAATCTGCTCACAAAGTGTTTTTCCTATTTCCTTTCTCCACAGTGAACAAAAGCAACTCTTTAAAAATGAAAATAAAGAATGTACTTCAAATGCTTGAGTGTGTGTGCGCGTGTGTAAACAGGCAGGCAGCTGCCTATTTGTGAATATTGGTAAGAATATCTCAGAATCAAAAGATTCCCTCATACCATTTCCTTCATTATATCAAGTATAGGAACTATAGTTGTTTTCATGTAGTCACAGTATAGATATAGGATTTTTATTACAAAAACCTTACATAAGAGTTTTCCATGTTTCTACAAAGTGGCTTATATTCCAGCCTTAGTGTGAAATCAATCCATTAGCATTCCCAAAAGCAAATGCTTAACGGGTTGCACTCTCACATCATGGACAAATGGACCACTGCCTTCTCCTTTTGTAAGGAGGGTTTGTTAGTGTGTTTTTAACTCAAATAAAATATATGCTTAAATAAATTAATTTGCTATCAAATCCTCTTGCTAATACCCTCATCTATTCCTTAGCATAAGAATGGTCATATCACAGCTAAGAGCAAACGCAGGAGTGGTTAGCTTCGATCAGAGGTATAGCAGGACAGCTCTGTGCCCAGTTTCGGTGTGGGGGCAGAGGCGGCACATAGTGCCCAGGGCAGCACTGGCTGCTGAGGTGCAAACCACAGCAGCATGATCAGCTGCTGCTGGACTCATGGTTATTTTTTGCATCTGCCCACACAGCTGGTGCCCAGGGCTGCTGCCCCAGTCATCCCCCTTCAGCTATGCTACTGACTTCAATCTTTTCCCAATCTTCTAAAATTCATTTTTATAAACATGGACACACAAAAGATCCTGCAAGACACCTTCAAACCAAACTGGAATAAAGGACTTACAACACTGAGTATACTGAACAACACTAAGACTTCATGACAAAGTGACAGTCCTGAAAGGCAGTGGAAAAAGCAGCATGCCAAAGGAATGCTGAAATGCTAGTGAGAGTTTCGAATGGTAAATCAAATTAAAGGGTTTTAAAATAAAGCTACCTTTGGCAAAGAAAAAGCTAACAACAAACCCCACAATGCAAAATATATCACAACAACATGTGAACTCTGTCATCTGCCATTTCCCAGTTTTAACCAGATAGGTGAAGTAATTAAGCAGACTCTCACTGGCATGTCTTTGTGTCACAATTTACACCTAAGCAACAAACACAGAAAAGGTTTCAGCTGAGCACAGTCTCTCACAAAACATTTTGCTTCATAAATGTGGGCAACAAAACCTAGAGCCTTTGTGCATTCTACTGCCTTGAGACAGCATTACCTGTCCTGTCTCCTGGGTAAAGTATTTCTGCAGAATTTGGGACTAGCAGCAGGGGAAGAGAGAGGGCTAGAAGAAGACATCCAGTGAGACAGAAAACAAGAGAAGGAATATTAGAATGAAAGGAGAAGGAAATAAAGGAAGGAGTTGTTAAAACAAAATAAAACAAAACAAAAAGTGTCATAAAAACATTTTTTTCAGCAGTTGTTTTCTCTTACAAAGACACAACAACTAGAAAGTCCTGATAACGGAAAAAAAGTTACACAGCAAGATAAGGCTAGCTTCCAAGGCTTCAAAATATACTCTTTTAAAAATGTTTGCTCTTAAAGTAAATTTCTGTTCTACTCAAGTCTCAAATGTAATGTTCATCATCATCCTGGTATCCCAGCACCTACTGCCCAGATTCTAACTATGTGAAATACAAACAAATGTAATTTAACAAGAAATATTTGGCTTTGCAGCACATGATGAAAATTGTAATGGGGTGTATTTTAGGCCATGGTTATATCAACTAGTAGACAGGGATATTAAAATACGTGAAATTCTAATATCAAATAGCACATAGTCATTAAACAATGAAGGTTGAAATGAAAAATCTCATCCAAACACAGATCCATGTCCTGTGTAATAAAGAACTGAACTCTTTGGTTGAAATAGCTGTTTTTATAAATTTTGAAACTATCAATTAATATTTATTTTGTAGGATTTATAATTGGAATGACACTATGAACTACTGTTGCTATATTTCTAATTTTAAAGATAGGCACATATAGTATATATTAATGGAGAGTAAACAGAAGCTACTCACCTCTCAGACAATGTTGTCTTAACACTGTTGGTTCTGACAAAGGGAGTCAGAGAATCATCTTTAGAAGCTGTGATCAAACCACTGGATGAGTTATGACTCAGCCCACCTCCACTGCTCAGAGATATATCAATGGATTCGCAGCTGGTGTGAAGACTACTGACAGATTGGTATCCAATGCCATCCTTACTAACAGCAGAAGAGCTACTTGCGTTGGTACCCCAAGTTAAACTGTTCGAGGGAGCTGAATGTGCTGAACTGGGACTAGAGGCCAATGGAGACTGGTTCATGTCCATGTTTTTACTGTAAAGGGGACTGCTGCCCCCACTGCTCAGTATACCGCTGCCAGAGGGAGAATCAAGGTTCCCTTGCTGGTTCATGGTAGCATGAGGATTGGAGATGACCACTGAATTTTTCATATTTTCAGCTGTTGTGATAGGAACCTGTTTATTTGGCTTGCCACCAAAAAGTCTGTAAAAAAAGTTCAGAGAGCATAATAAAAACTATATGAAATGGAATGTAAAATGACTACAACAAAGATATTTTTACATATAGTATTTGCCTTTAGACACTTGAAAAACAATTACTAAAAAATGTTCTATTCAGCTTCACCAAGACACCAGATGCTACAGCTGTAGGCAGTGATGCAGTACTGGGCAGATTGGGATGGTTTAGTCAGGGACGATCCTGCCTTGAGCAAAGGGCTGAACTAGATGACCTTGCAGCCCTCCTTTCTTATGATCCTGTAATTTTAATTATGGCAATAGATTGAAAACTGGTGATTCAGAGGACTAGTTTTCTGTTGCTTGCAAAATAAAAGAAAGATAGGCTATGTTATAGCAGTTTTCTACCTCTAAAATGTGTTTTTAGATTCAGATTAATAACAATAAACTAATAAACTTCCTTTCCTTATCTCTGCTATCAATCAAATACAGAGAAATTTATTATGCCTATCTTTTCCTTATCTGAACCTTCAAATGATACTTTCACACAACAAAATGTTATTGACTATATTATCTTCTGTTCCCTGTGGAGAATAGATTTCTACCAGTAATGCTAATAAAGGGATTAATTTGAAGCATGAACATTTTGAACCATGTAAAGATCGTTAAATCCCAATGATGTAAATCCATTTTGAAAGAGAAACACAGAAGAATGAAAAAGAGATGGCTACAGCCATTCCAAACTATGTATACCAAACTTTTCTGCTCTTGGAAATTAAGCAGACTTGGGAATTCCAGGTACTGTAGTCCCAATATAAGAAGTTGTGTGTGTAAACATTTGGTGAATAATACAAGACAGAAACTGAAATGGCCAGACTTTATTCACCCCAATTGTTACCACTGAGCTGGTCAAACTCATAAAAAGTCAAAGTCTTGATTTCTGTACAAGTCACTGAATGCACCTTTCAAAAGAAGAATTTGGAGAAATTTTAGGAAAAACCAAAAAAAAACCTCACTTCTGGCAAATCAGGTAACTTCACCCCCAAACTGCCCTAAATAATGAAAATAGTCCCCAGTTCATTCAAGATAGCCACTGGGCAGTTTAAAAAAAGCATCTATGTGATTAAGCAGTCTAGATCCCATTTTCAAAGGGACACAGTCAATTTGGTTGGTTCAAGGCAGGTAGTCTCATTGGTACAAGGCGGTGCTATACTGAGAAATGACATAAATGCATTGTAGAGCTTGCTTATTTGAATGCACACAGACCTGAACCAATGAAACTATGCTACTTCCAGTTCAGAAGCTAATGCATGTGGAGTGAACAAAGCATGTCTCAGCACAGCAGTACTGTGTCTCAGTAGGCACATCTACATGAGACACTTTACTGTGCAGTAGACTAATCTACTGTGCAGTAAATCATCACCACCTACATGTGCACACTGAATTAGTCTACTGCATGGTTGGCTAGTACCTGTAAATACCGTGCAATAGCTACTGTGCATTAGTGTATGTGTAGACAGCTGACTAGGAGCAAATCACTCCTGGTCAGCTCAGGCAGCAGAAGGTTCCCTGGGCAGTTGCCTCCCAGCCCCATGCCCCAGTTGGCAGGTCAGGGCATGGGGCTGGAAAGCTCTCCCCTCCCCCAAGCAGCTGCTTCCCAGAGCTGGCACCCGGGGGAGCCTAGAGCTCCCACTGGCTGCTGTAGGGGGGCAGAGCAGGGCAGCAGTAGCCCTGCACTGAACTGCTCCCTTCAAGAGTGAATTTAGTCTCAACAGGCACATGCATATATGCACTTCCAGGGAAAGCTTATTGTGCAGTAAAATGCGGCATAGTAAAAACTGCACAGTAAGCTTACAGCACATAACAGCATGTGTAGACACACCTGGTATGGTGTGGCTTTACTCCCTACAGACATTCCTTTTGGAAACAAAGCTTCATTGAAAACCTTCAGTACTTAGATGACTAAGCACATGTTATTTTTGAATATAGGACTTAGGTGTTTTTGATTTTTTTTCCCTTTTTGTGTAGTAGCCAGGGCATTTCAACTCTCTATTAGAAAAACAGTCATGTGCAATTTTCCCATTGTACTTAAAACAGGTTTCATAAGGAAGTCCTGGATCTCTTCTGCTTAAAACTAGAGACAAATAATTGTTATTAAGATGATCACTGCTTAATTATGATTTAACAATGGAATGCCCTCAGATACATAGCATGTCTTGCTTGTAGACAGGGTTATGAGGATGATTAGTTTACTGCATTATGGTTTTAGTTAAGAGTGTATGTACCAGAGGGGCCACAGTAGCAGCAGTTTGACCAAAAAAACGAAGATCTTTTTTCTAATGAAAATCTGAAGCCAATCCAAATCTATCTTTTCTTTGAATTTCTAGTTCATACTGCAAAAGAAGCTAGTTATTCACAGATGCACACTCGAGAACAGAATGTACAAGATTTAAGAAAAGAATAAAGAACTCTACAAAGTTCTATCATATAATAATAGCATAAATTCATTATATAAGATTTCAGTTGTTACCATCTAGTAAGTCAATATTTATAACTGCCAAACTGAGCAGAACTGTCTCGCTGTAAAGTCTTTCCTGGCTTGCTGCTTCCAAAAACGTATTTAGCTGAGTCAGAAAAAATCCTGAATATCAAAAAAAATATAAGCTGTGGATGAAAGAAGGACAGGGCCTGAAAAAATGGTCACTTCAGTTCAGAACGAACTCAGCAAGCTGGCATTATGAATATAGTTGTTAATGTTAAAAGGAAATGCCTTACAGAGAATTCATATCTCATTGTTCCTCTTTACAGTTATCAGTTTTGACAAGCAACAGTCATGTTTGAGCTGGGTGTTTGGTTATGTCTACAGAGCTGCATCAGGAAAAGAGTAGGAATTATGCCCTGCAAAGCATTACAGTAACAGGAGGATAAAAAAAATTAAAAATTACCAACAATCAATAAGCCAATATTAAAATATCTGTACCAATTGATTTAATATAACAAATGGCATAAAATCTAGCATTGTCTTCTATAAGATGTATATTGTTTTTGCATGACAAATGGTGCCAGAGTAGAAGTGTTGAAGCAAAAGCTAAACTGGAAAATCAAGACACCACTACACTTGTAAAACTATAACTACGGACATTTTTTGCTGAGAGAAGTGCAGAAAATATTTTATTTGCCTTCAGATCTGAAGAGGGGAGTATTACTGCCTACCTGCTGTGCAAATTCATCTAAGAATATGACTGAGGTCAGGTTTGTAGTTAAATTCAGTGTTAAATGCATATTTAATAAATTGAATATGAAAATTAAGATGAACATATTGCTAGCGGTACATACTCTGAACATGAAGTAGCTGTGCCAACAATAAATTTGCCCTGATCTATTTGTGAAGTCTGATGACCGCTGAAGAAATGAAATAGCTAACCAGAAGCAAGGAGGTTTAAATGAAACTTTGAAAAGAAAAAAAAACACTTAAACTCCATAAAGATGACTGATATTTTTTCTCTGTAACTGCTCTTAAATGTTGCTGCATTCCAAATGTTATAATGACGAAAAGTTTACGGAAATGATCTTTGTTTCATCAACAGAAATCTATGATTGCATTTAAATATTCACATACTTGAGGAAAGCAATAAAGAAAGTATGGACAGCCAATAGTTCTCATTTTGATTTAGTGTTTTAAGCAGCTGGGGCTGAAAATGATATTTTCATAAAGATATTAATTGTTCTTTAATGCATAAACAGAATAATTAAACTGTACATTTCATGTTGAATTATTCCATCAAGTCTTTTCAAATTTAACCTTACACTGAAAAAATGCAGTCTTTCTTTTTTCTAAAGCTTTAACCCACACCATCATTATGGCAATTAAGCCTGAGTAAGCAACCTGAAAGGGATGTTACATCATCACAGTATAGGATGATGTTGTGTGATTGTATGGATGTGATGCCAGGACAAAATGAAATGTAAAACACTGCAACTTGAAGCTGCCTATGTTTAAACTTACAATGTCAAATTAAAATAGAAAATAATATTATGGATGTCTCTGCTGAGATGTCAAGGCTTGGATGCAGATATTGGAAAACAAATAAACTAACTCCCACGCATCCAAATGTTTGCATTAAAATAAAGTTTGCAGTGGGAAGAAATGTAAGGCCATGAAGATTAGAAAACAGATCTTTACATATAAGAAGATTTTTGTTAAAAATAAGACAATTAAACCTAGCTGACACAGTCCTTTTAATTAGGTCATTCCATACCTGCATCCTTGAATGCTTAAATAAGGAGTCACACAACTGGCGACAATAATAGAGATATCTTTTGGAGCTGATGTGGTGAATAAATGTAAATACACTAGGCCAAATGATGTTCTCAGACTGGTGCAACTCTGGGGTCCCTCTTGTGACTTCAATATATAAACAGTCCCAATTACTTAACTCCACCTAATGATTTCCACAATGAATGAATTTTTGCCTACCTGCGCAAAGTGGGAGAGGCCACATCAGGGTACTTGGTTCCTTGCTGGTGGGTACTTTGAGCTCCACTAGAAGCAGTCTGTGATGCAGGGTTCACTTTAACAGAATTACATGAGGCCACGCTTTCGTTGTCAGACGAGATCCCTTTCTCTTTATCTGTCTGGTTGATTAATCCTGGCAAAGAGCTTCCAAGAACTACCTTAACAGGCTCTCTGATTTTAGGGGCAGGTAAACCAGCTGACTTGCTGCTAATGTTGGAGTCTATGCTACTGGTACTAGACCTATTACCAGCTCCACTTCTGCTGCTGGATTTACTAGGCCGAGGTAAACTACGATACTGAAGATTAGTTCGAGCACTAAGTGCTAGGTAACCATCATCCTGGTTCTGTGAGCCATCAACACTAGTCTTCCGACCAGTGGATCTACCCATGAGTCCAGATGATTTAGGGATTTTGCCCAGTGTGGCTGATCTGCTGGTGATAGTTGCCCCACTAGCAGTAATCATAGTCATGCCTACAGCTGACCCACTTTGTTTCTTAAATCCAAATGTGTTTGTATTAGCAGCAGCTGTCCTAGAGTTACTTGTGGGAGGCTTTTTGGATTCATCACCACTACTGCGTCCTGCATCTGATGGGGAACGTTTAACATGTCCAGCTTTAGGAGAAAGTCTACCCTTTTCTGATACCTTGGCGTCATCAGTTTTCCCTACAAAAATAGAAAAAGAATTCTACTATTTAATGACTTGAAAACATTAAGCAAATGGTGAAAATCAAAGAAGCATGAAAAGCAAAAGCATGTTAGCCACAAGAGAGTGGTTAGGAGTATGATCCAGTCTGCACTGAACTAAAATGTCACTCTAAATGAGCTATTCATGTAGATTTGCCACAGAGAGTATCTGATGTGTCTGCCCTTGAGAATATGAAAAATAGTGGACAGATTGTTAGGTAAAGTGTCAGATAAGTAAGCGGGTTCTTTAAACTTTGTAACTAGAATAGTTTGTGCCATTGTAGTATTAAAGAAAAGATGTGGGAAGGCAACATTCTAACTTTTAAAAAGGCTTTAGAAAGAATGCCTACTACATGGTAAGGACTATATTTTCAAAACAGACATGCACGGCTGTGTACAGAATCAATCAGGAGTAAAAGGATAATAAATTAATTTGTGTGTGCAAATTCTATTAATAAGCACGCACATTTGCATGTGCTTAGAGTTCTGAGGAGATCCATTTGGAAATCTGGTACTGAATAATACTCTATTATAAAATTAAGTGCATATTCTATTTTAGTTGTGTGAAACCTTTTTTTCACAAAATTCTCCTGAGCAGTTTCTCAGTTATTCTTAAGCAGGGAATAAAAACTGGAATTCTATTTAATGAATTTTAATGAGCCTTACATGAAAGATACTGCACTGCAAAAACTGGCTGTGTATACACATTCAAATGATCTGGGAGAATTCTCCCAGGTTTGCTCTCCTGGTACAAAAACTTACCCAGAGACATCTGAACAGACATTTGATGCTGAGCTCCTTAAGACCAGATATCTTGCAGCACAGATGCTGCACAGCCAGGGGCCCTATGTGCACACACCTTAGTGTACTCTGTAGGCTCCCTTAGTCTGCCTGGAGACAGGATGGCAGCAGTGCATAGGGCAGCCCTGACAAGCTAACTCAAACTGCTCAGGGTCAGCCTGTGTTTCTTTTCAGCACAATGTGGGGATTGTGAAGATTTAATTCTGTTCTCTGCGTGGCTGGAGCAATAGCGTCCAGTGGTCAACACACTGTCTTCCAAGGGGAAAGAGAGAGAGTGAAGCACCTTGGTGCTGGAAGACAGCTGTGGCTTGTCTCAGAAAACAATGTGCACTGCCATTTGCCCTCCCATCAGAAACCCTCCAGGGAGTAATATAACCCTTGTTGCTCCCACATTATTTTTTCCTGGAGTGACCATTTTTGCTAAACATGTGTACACTAGTGGTTTCTACTGGGAGAATAGAAACTCTGCCAGGAAAAACTGAATGTCTGTGTGTGGCCACTGCATTCAATAAATAGTATAATTAAGAATTAGTCCTATCTTAAAGACATTATTGAAAGTATGCTAGTACACGCATCATATTTATAATTAACAAACCCATAAAACAAATGCAGAAATACAGTATGCTGTATACTGAATCCCCCCTTCCCACAGTTATAAAATAAAATACATAGAGCTATTTCAAGTTGAGACTAGAAAACTGAAGCATTATTTTCTACAGCATAAACTGTCGGCTTGTCTGCATGTTACATTTTTCCTCACCTGTTCCAGGTGTCTTTAATGTGCCTGAAGTGGCTGAAGATTTAGTCCTTGGTGTAGTAATGCCAACCTGAGCTGACATGCCCCGTCTCCAGGAACCAGTCTGTGAAATAACAGTGTTCTTCCTACCAGAAGTGCTTTTATCAGATTCATCAGACACATCAGAGGGATTCCGCCTCCACTTAGATCCAGGCTCCATTTTTATGCCGCTATCTGATCCTCCATCTGATTTCTTAACTTCGTCACCAGACCACAGGGAATTCCGCTCAACCTGAGAATGCTTTTCTGCATCAGTCTAAGGGAAAGAGCAAATTGTAGCAGAATCTCCACTGTCAATTCCTGTTTCAAACATTACTTTCTTTAGGTTCAAAATCTGGACCCCGCTACCTGACTTATAAATTCACTAATCATTTCTGGTTACACAAACATTTTGCCAAAAAAAATATCCATGATAAAAAAAATAAACTTAACAACCGCTTATACTTCCTGCTGCACTGGAGAAACAATCACTAAATAGTTAAAATTAAAATAACACACAAAGCACCAAACACCTGATTTACCATGGAAAGAAGCCAAGTATTCAGTTCCCTGCTATTTACAATCTTCCTCCTTGATTTCATGTGAATCTTTTTCTTGTAATGTATAAAAAAATTTCAAATGGGCACTGTTCATTTTTTTGTTTTTGCTGCTTTATTATCTATTGTCTGTCAATTTGATATCTAGAACAAGATGAGACAGACTATTTTGAAACCCACAATGAACCTTTCTAAAAATATTAAAATCAAGTGTAAATACACAAAGCAAAGCCATTCTTAATTGTCACTGAAATATCATCCTTGCCTTTTCCAAATTTACAGATTCTACTGTATATTCAGTTCATAAAATCAGACACCTTATTTGCCTGGTGGAAAATTCAACAACAGCTGTTGTCAAGGAGAGATTTTTCTCTTTGCCAAACCACAGTAAAAGTCTGGATATCTTTATCAAAAATATTATGCTGTCCAGTACTTTTCCTCTTCTTCCCATTCTGTCATTATGATTGAAACATGCCTATTACAATTATTTTACTGAATTAAGCTTTTCCTGCCAACTAAATTGGTGAAAAGCAATCACAAATTTGTAATACCACAACCAGGTAGAAAAGCTGGCTGCTAGATACATTTTAAAGTATTTCAACTCCAGATCAGGACCAAAATTTGATGGCTAACCTTAGCCTCTAATGGCGACACCATTCTGAAGCAACTGAGAGCCTCCTCACACAGAACACTTAGCAAGTGGTTTATTTAGATTGTAGTAAGCATTACTGTGGGGGAGGAAGGGAGCAGGGGGTCCCTGGAACCCCACCACCCGGAAATAACCCATCCGGGTTACGCCCCCCGGCCCAAATTGCCCAGCCGGGCACCCTCACGCTCCACAGGTGCGGCCGGGGAAGAAGCCTCGAGGCAGTTCCGGTCCCTATTAAAGGGACACCGGAGGCAGCTGGCGAGGAAAACCCGGAAGGCGACGGTGGCAGCGGCGACGAAGAAGAGGGAGCCGTCGGGAGCACCCGTGCGGGGGGGAGAGACAGCTGGCCGGCGTGGGAGGACCTTCTGGGGCCGGGGGAAACCCCAAGGGGACCCGGGAGCTGAGGAGCAGCGGCCACACCGCGGATACAGACGGCGCGGAGAATGGCTCGGCTCAGGGAGAGCCAGTGAGCCGTATTCTTTTGAATAGAGGGGCACTCACAGCAAAGACAGCGAGATAGCCGTGTCCGAGAGGGGCTCGGGGACTGTGCAAGCCCAGGACCAGATCTGGCGGTGAGTACAGCCGGAACTGGGGGAGGTCTCCCCACGCCGGACAGGGAAAGACCGGAGAAGCCGGTAAAAGGGATAGATAACCTTTGGGCTCCGCAAATCCCTGGCCGGGAGCATTCAGTTGTTTTGTTTTCTCTTTGATTTCTGCACCTCGGACGTGCCCTTGGTGACGAGAGGGACGCAGGCGGCCGAGAGACTGGGAGGTATGGGCAAGGGTGTAGGGGCGGCGGAGCCCTCGACAACGTGGGACCCCTGAGGGATCGGAGTCTCATTTGTGGACTGGTACGCCCCCGGATTTATAGCACTGAACCAGTAGATCATCAAAGTCGTGGCAGGCGGTTCAGAGGAAACCAGCCCACAAACGAGCCGAGGGAGGAGGAACACCTCGGGGACGGTCCTTTACCAAGAGGGGCGGAGGCGTCGGCACGGAGGGAAGTGACCGGCACAGCGCTACCCTTGGACAATTACCAAGCCATATTAAAAGTTAGAACATATTCTGAGCAGTCTCACAATAATGTTTTCTATTATCTCAGCCTGTTGTGGATGGCGCTGGAACTAGCAGTACTCTCCCTCCAACCCTCCCCCCCCCCAACACTGATCTTGGCACTGGACTCACACATATGCTTGTGAGAACAAGCAACCTTGATGCCCCAAGCCCGAGTCATCCCTAAGACCTGCCCAGCACTGCCTAGCCAGAAAACACCTGCCTCTAGGTTGAGCTGGGTCATTGGTAGTCTTGAACCAGCTCCAGTGCAGTGCTAGGACTGGGATTGACAATCAGCTGATTGTCAGCACCAGGTCCCACATAACACAAGAGTCTTGAACAGGCTCTGGTGTGGTGCTGGAGTTGACTGCTTGTCCAGACCTTGTACCGCACTGGAATCCTGATCACGCATTATCTCCACGGAGCACTCTGATGACAGCTGAACATGTTGCAATGTGGAGATACTCCTCCTGTGAAAAGTTGTAACTTTGCTGTGATACAATCACACTTAGGATGTGTTAGCAACACTTAAAATGTGAGCCTCCATGTGGTCAAGCAGCAAAACATGCTAAGTGTAACGTTTAACAAGACCCTGAATCTCTACCACCTGACTGGGTATGACTGAATTAACTGCCCAGGAGGAGGCAGGACAGACTTCTGCAACATTATGAACATGGTCACTTACAAATGACTTCAACAGGAGTGTAGAGCACTCAGCATTTTTCAACAGACAAAGTGCAGTAGCACCCTGAAGGATCTGGTTTTAAATGACTCAAGAGCTTTTTTAAAAAATACCCTTGCATATTTGACTAATCAACAAAGTGGGGAAAGGAAATAAAGAGAAAAGTTCAGGACAATTTAATATGCTTTCAGGAAAATATTACATTTTGTTTTAAAATCTCTTGTCTCCCTGAGTGTGTCTGCGGTTTTATAATTTCTTTTCTCACTAGGTTAAATCTTCAATATTAAATGAGCATAAGGTTTTTGTGGTTTAATTTCCTTTGCCTTTTGCTGTGGTATTTTAAAAAGAAGATGAAAAATAGTCAAAGTGTTCAGTAATGAAAGCTGACACTACACATTGTATTGTTTTTTTCCCCTTTAGAGTCATATAAAAGAGTTCAGGACTCATTTTTCTTGCTGTTGACTCATTTAACTATAAAGCATTCAAGAATCTACCACTGAATTGTGGATTCAGAGACTTTTTTTTTGTTGGCATGTTCAACCTGACATTCAAATACAAAGTTTCTCTTCTTTTCTGCTTAAAGAAAGGTGGTCTTGGCTTCATTATCTATCTCCTGTTTTCATCTATCTCCTAAAGAGGCCACATAATCAAATATGAGATAACATCCTCATCAATTAGCAAAGAGTCAGAGGAAGGGCACTCTGAAGTGCTCTGGGTTAGAATACAAGGCAGTCGAGGGGAAAGAGATTTAACGGTGGGGGTCTACTACAGGCCACCCAACCAAGGGGAAGAGCTAGACCAGGAATTCTTAAGTCAGCTCATGGAGGTAGTTAGGTCAAAGGTCATCATGGGTGACCTGAACTTTCCAGACATCTGCTGGGAAGAGCAGTCAGCCAGGTCTGACCGCTCACATAGGTTCCTAGCCCAAATGCAGGACCTCCATCTAACCCAGGAGGGGCACAGCCCCACCAGGGGAGACACCTTGTTGCACCTGGTGCTGGCCACCAGCGACAACCTGATGAGGGGGCTGCGGGTGCTCAACCACCTGGGTGACAGATCATCACCTGCTGGAATTCACCATCCAGTGCAAGGTGGCAAAGGCCGACAGCAAGGCAGCAGCCCTAGATTTCAGGAGGATAGACTTCAATGAGCTAAGGAGAATAGTCAGGGAAGCACTGAGGTCCTGGAGGGGAGGGAAGCCAGGTGTCCAAGAAGAGTGGTCGCTCCTTAAGGAGACAATCCTCCAAGCCCAAAGGGAGGTAATCCCAACACAGATCAAAGGGGGCAGGAGGGCGCAAAAGCCCCCATGGCTCACCAAAAGCATCCGAGAAAGTCTCCTGGCTAAAAGGGAGGCATACACCCAAAGGAAGGGAGGGGCCATCACCAGGGAGGATTATACTGCAGTTGCTCGGGGGGGCAGTCAGGAAGGCCAAGGCAGAGATGGAACTGGGACTAGCTTCCCAGATCAAGGACAACAAGAAGTCCTTTTTTAAATACATAGGGGGCAAAAAGAAGGTTCCGGGTAATGTGGGGCCCCTGAAAGACACGCTAGGAAATTTGGTTGTCACACCAGACAACAAAACTAACCTATTTAACGATTTCTTTGCCTCCATTTTCCTGAGCAGGGACCG